CTGAGGAACATGGTTCAAGCTCGTGTCCTCTCTCGGTTTCCTTAACCGGGTCTGATCTTTCGAGCCATGGGAACCTTATGGAGCTTCCATGCGGATTAACTCTTGGATCACACATTACAGTGGTTGGGAAGCCATTATCTGCTCACGCGGAGAAAGACCCGAAGATATCGATGTTAAAGGAAGGAGACGAAGCTGTGAAGGTTTCACAGTTTAAGCTTGAGCTTCAGGGTTTGAAAGCAGTGGAAGGTGAAGAGCCACCTCGGATTCTACATTTGAATCCAAGGCTTAATGGTGATTGGAGTGGTAAGCCTGTGATTGAGCAGAACACTTGTTATAGAATGCAATGGGGATCAGCACAAAGATGTGAAGGATGGAGATCTAGGGATGATGAAGAAACTGGTTAGTATATATGTTCAAAGCTTCTGTTGTTTTACTTGATTTGCTTTGTGTTTAGGGATACTAATTAGTGAGAATTGTTGTAGTTGATGGTCAGGTTAAGTGCGAGAAATGGGTTCGAGATGATAGCAGTACAACTAAAGAAGAGTCTAGCAAGGCGGCTACATGGTGGCTTAACCGACTAATAGGTCGGAGCAAGAAAGTAACTATTGAATGGCCATTTCCATTCACAGTTGACAAGCTTTTCGTGCTTACGCTTAGTGCTGGATTGGAAGGTTATCATGTTAGTGTCGATGGGAAGCACGTCACATCCTTTCCTTACCGGACTGTAAGCAATGTTTTGGCTTTGCTTAGAACCTGTTGTAGTTTGATTAGTAAATGGCGTGAAAGTGATAATTGTCTATGTGGGTGTTTTTTTGGCTATATATGAAGGGATTTACGCTTGAGGATGCTACTGGCTTAACCATTAACGGCGACATAGATGTTCATTCGGTTTTCGCTGGCTCTCTCCCGACCTCGCACCCTAGTTTTTCTCCTCAGAGGTATCTTGAGCTCTCGAGCAATTGGCAAGCCCCATCACTTCCTGATGGGCAAGTTGATATGTTCATTGGCATCCTTTCTGCTGCTAACCATTTTGCTGAGCGAATGGCTGTGAGGAAGTCGTGGATGCAACATAAACTAGTTCAATCTTCTAAAGTTGTGGCTCGGTTCTTTGTTGCACTGGTAAGTTTAGACTAGTTTACAAGTGATCTGATCTGGTCTGATCTTGGTCTTCTAGATTAGATTAAAAGCTAATCTTGGTTTTTTTTGTGGACAGCACTCGAGAAAGGAAGTGAATGTGGAGCTAAAGAGGGAAGCTGAATTCTTTGGGGACATAGTTATAGTTCCTTACATGGATAGTTATGACCTTGTTGTCCTCAAAACTGTTGCAATTTGCGAGTACGGGGTGAGTTCGCTGATTCTAATAATTAAAATTTTGATACCGTGATTTCAGTTATTCAAGATCGATAAAGAATCTCTTTATTCTATGTTTTGCAGGCTCATCAGCTTGCTGCTAAATACATCATGAAGTGTGATGATGATACATTTGTACAAGTAGATGCGGTTCTTAGTGAAGCGAAGAGAACTACCACGGATAGAAGTCTATACATTGGTAACATCAATTATTATCACAAACCGCTCCGACAGGGTAAATGGGCTGTTACATATGAGGTAAAAAGTTATAATCTTTGGCTTAAAGAATCCATTTGTATCCGCTTGTTTCTCATATGAATTCAAAAAGTTAATGTTTCATTATCTGTTTTCCCAGGAATGGCCAGAGGAAGACTATCCACCTTATGCTAATGGCCCGGGCTACATATTATCGAACGATATATCTCGCTTCATTGTAAAAGAGTTTAAGAAACACAAATTAAGGGTACGCCCCGCAACAGAATTCCTTAGCCAACCATACCTAATCAATTCGAAACAGAGCATGTATATCTGTATAACTCTGTTTCTTTCTTGATACTGCAGATGTTCAAAATGGAAGATGTGAGCGTAGGAATGTGGGTAGAACAGTTCAACAACGGGACCAAACCAGTGGATTACATTCACAGCCTCAAGTTTTGTCAGTTTGGTTGCATAGAGAATTACCTGACTGCGCATTACCAGTCGCCGAGACAGATGATTTGCTTGTGGAATAAGTTGGTCTTGACAGGAAAACCTCAGTGCTGCAACATGAGATGACACAAACTCTGTTTCTCTTTCTCTCTCCTTTTTGGTAGCCCATTTTATACCATATATAACTTTGGTTGTAGTATATCCTCTCTGATATTGGGGAACAAAAACTAAAATAGGTGTTGTTTTGGTCGAATCCTCTATTAATTATATTCATTCATTCCTTTCATATTTTGGTCTGCCTTTTCATATTTTAAGACAAACGTATTGATTTTCAGAGTTCTATATTTTTTGAAACATTCTAAATTTGTGATACAGAATTCAGACAATGGCTGCTGACAAAACATAGATACCAAATTTGTGATAAAAATGTTGCAAAAAGTGTTAATAGAGAGAGTATACTTAACAAACGTAGCCTTATGATTTTGGATGTAAATCAATAAAGAAAAAAGCAGCCTGTGGTAGTTTTAAGTAACATTTGCTTTGGAAGATCAGAAACTAATATTAGTTGTGTCCATGGTACTACAACAGAAGATGCTGCAAATAAATCTTTGGATCATAGTTTTCTTCCGACCAGTCCTTTGAAAAAGTCCAAACTGTAGTTGAACAGAGATTACCCCAATGTTAGTTAACATGTAAATGGAATGTTATCAACCATTAATCAGATTCAGTTTTCAAGATTGACACATGCTTGAGAAATTACCTATTTCCATCAGGGTGAAGCTCATACATTTGGTTATCATCTCCGATAGCCAATAGATATCCCGAAGAAGTCAAGCCCTGGAAATTTAAGGGAGATACAAAAGTGTTGTATTTAAGAAAGGTTTCAAGATAGCATAAGAATCTCAAACTGTAAACCAATCCTACCTGAATAGTCACAACACTTCGAATAAATTTGTCCTCGATGGTTACTTCAACAACCACTTTTTGCTCGCTGCACGTGTGTAATACACGGTAAAGTTTGTATCCCAAAAATCCAATGCGAACATATTAAAAGAATCCTATACAGCCACAAGTTAATATCAAACTAGCAGAATGTGTAGTTGATTATCCTATGTGTAGCTCAGTCTTGACAAAACAATATTTCGTTCTTTACTTTAAAAGATCTTATGTCACCTGTGAAGCCATGTCCTGTAGTAAAGCTCCTCGAGAGACTTAAATCCTGTAAAGTGTAGTGCGATGATGTAGAATGATTAAAATGATAAATAGCTCAGACTTTCATTTCTCTTACACTTATCTAAATTATCAATCAACAGATATTGTTCTGGCGGATACTCTTAAAGTGACAAAGAAGCTGAGTAAAACCAGACTCTGAGATCAGAGATTTACTTTACCTCGGTCCATGAATAGATCAAATAACATTTCAAATTTATGAAAGAAGGCACCAAGAATTTCTTCTCTTGTAAATAGGCTTGATGTCGGAGACAGTTCTTTAAGTACCGCATTTAAGCATGTGGTTGGTTGCTCGTTGTCCACATTCAGTCCAACACCTACAAGACAAAGCGGTTTTGTCTTTCTTTTAAAGTAAAAGAAGAACAAGACAACGAGCAAATGCTGCTTCTAAAAGATGCTTATAGAGTCATCAACTTCTAAAGAGTAATATGTCTATTACCAACACTGGTATCGAACTTCCTTGAACAGTATGAGGAGGTACACAAAATGCCTCCAATCTTAAGGCCATTCAAGTAGAGATCATTTGGCCACTTTATTCTAATGTCAATGTAAGGCAAACCCTGAAAATGAATCAACTTACAAATTAGCAACACTCAAGAGGTAATTTCTCATGTAAAAAGGATCCAAAGAACACACACCTTCTTGTCACAAATAGATTTCACTGCCTCCGTCACAGCGAGAGATATCATATATTGTGTCAAAGGCACAATTCTACCATCTTCCATCTGTAGAGTAAAAGAAAACATAAGACAACCCTTTGGAGATTCCCAGACATTCTTTGATCTACCTGCAATTCATCGAAGGCTCAAAAGTTTCAATTTTTCCAATTCTACTTGCTTAAAAATCTAATCCCAACATTGTTAAAGACTCTTTACCTCGACCCTTAAACTGAACATCAGCGACACAAACTGTACCAATTGGAAGCTCAGAGAAGTTGCTGTAAGAAACTTAAAAAACGGATTTTTAAACTAATAACCTTAAAAGAGAGGTGATTAGGGAACGAAGGAGAAGGAGAATCTTACGGAGCAACAACATCGTGAGTGGAAGACAAGCGAGGAGACCAAATGAGAAACCTCCCAAACCGGTGAGTAGAAATGGAATCCATGAACAATGAGAGATTGAAGGAATCATGTTTGACTAATAAATTCTCAGCTTCAGATTCTAAAAAAATCGAAACTTTGGTATTATCTTGGATCTCAAGCACGTTATCGTTCTTCAATCGCGTTGCTATTTCAGTTTCCTCAGAGGATTTGCCACATAAAACCATGCTACACGAAGAAGAAGCATCACGGTCCATTGCTAAAATCAATCAAACTA